ATTATACATCAGGAAGTTTCCAACGTCCATTTACACAGTTTACCATAAAAACTAAAGTTTCTTTTGTTTTAGGTTAACTATTATTATTGATATCAGCACAAAAATCAATATAACCAGAAAATTTATGGCCTGTTTACTCAATTTTTTTTTTCAAATAGCCATTTCATCTTACATAAATGAACACACAATATGTTGACCAATTTTCTGAGCCTATTTTATTTTGCTATGAAGAGTAACTAAAGCTTATTTACAAAATCCAGGGAAACAGTCAACACTTTTATGCCATTTTGTATAATTCCAGGATGAAGAAGTGCATTACTAAATGTTTTCCTAACATAACTATATGCTTTAGCAGATTAAAAATTTAATGTTAAAGCAAGGTTGTTAACAAGGCCAAAATTAGCAAGGACATGGCCAAAGCCACATGTTACAAGGCTAAAACCAAGACCAATGCCAAAAGTTACAAGGTCAAAGCCTGGAATTTTAAAGTCAAGGCCAAGAATAAAAATATTTTAAACCTCAAAGACTTGAACTTTTGTCTAACGTTAAGGTCAATTATTAACAAAACTGTAGGTAACAATTCCTGTTACAATAAACCACATGTTGTAAAAATAAACCAGGGTTATGCCCAAAATTCTATTAAGTCAATAAAAAACATACTTGTGGATATGTATGAAGCCGAAAACAAAAATACTTAAAAATAAAGAATGAAATCTTTTAATTCTTCAATTTTATGTACTTTTTTTGAAGACCAAGGCTAAGACCAAGACCAACAGTTTTAAGACAAAGGCCTTAAGTCAAGGTCAAAGCCTAGGACTAACAACTTTGTGCTGTAGCAAAGCTTCATAATTCTGGTGGGTAATGCTTTTTAACTTTTCTTGTAAAATCCGACAATATAACTGTTTTGTAGACTCAGACATAGCTCCCTAAAATTAAATAGATTAAATAAATACATTTTTAGTTACAACATCATATTTATACTTGAAAACCCAATCAAGTAAATTAGGGCATCGTTGATTGGGGTATCAGGAAATGGATGAAAATATCACAATAGAATTACAATCATAACAACAATTATTACTGTAACGACAAACACAATAATTAACTTATTGCTGTTCTTTCTGTAATTGTGATGAATTAAAATTTTCCTTAACTGTTATCTGATGATTAATGTAATAAGTTTTTAATCATAAAATATTTCTAAAGGTATAACTTAATAAGAAATAAGAAACAAATATTTAAAATAATGAAATAGACAAATAAAATAAAATATGTTCAACAACTACTCTTAATAAAAATATATATTATACCATTAGTGTAATTGATACTTCTTCGGAAATCATAGTATGATTCATGATATATATAAATGATCTATATATATAAAGTCTAATGTATATATATATATATATATATATATATATATATATATATATATATATATATATATATATATATATATATATATATATATATATATATATATATATATATATATATATATATATATATATATATATATATATATATATATATATATATATATATATATATATATATATATATATATATAGGCACACAATATATATGTTACAAAAACTAAACTTAAAAGTTTTAAATCAATATATGTCATTGCAAAAAGATTAGTTACATTAGACTTACTGTATTTGAATCATTGGTGGTATTATTTGAAATAATTCTTTGTCTATATTTTTTAGTAGTTTTCTAGAATAAATACTTTTACATAAAAGTGTTGGGAAATTAAATATAGAAGAAACTGCATTTTTTTTTTAGTTTCTTTTGTGAACTCGAAAGACTTCCTTTATACCAGTGAAATATTTACCACAACGTTTAGACAGTTTACTAGGAGTAAAACCATCACTCCACATAACTTGTATCCATTTTCTCCTCAATTCCATATCTTTCAGAAAACTACCAACAAAAATAAGCATATTAAAATAATATGCTATTTATATTTAAAATATAATGTAGGATTTTAGCAAATAATGATTTGTAGCTACTTACACATGAAAAGAAACCCTTTTAATATATCTTTGAGTGAAATTATATGCAAAACAAGATAACATCATGATCTTTATATATCTATATTCTATTTGAAAATCAAAATTTAAACAAAATAATATACATAACAAATAATAAAACTTTAAAAATGTTAAATACATTCACCCTAAACCGATATTATAAGTTGTTCAATGTCCAAACGTGACGTCACGCGCTAAAAGAAAGTTGTGTGAATATAAGGCGTGTCTATCAGTTTATATGGTCGAAGGGCACAACAATATCAGTAAAACAATAATGGATAATATTGGCTTGCCAATATTGGTAAGACAATATTGGCGTAATATTGCTTGACAATATTGGCGCAATATCGGATATCTTGGCCAAGATTAGCCAAGATACCCAATATCGTGCCAATATTACGCCAATATTGTTTGCTACTTGGGATGTTTTAGTACATTCAATGTTTACAAAATAATTGCTGTTATTAGCACTGTAAAAGTTAAGAATGTCAGAGAAATTTAAAAACTTTGAAAATTAAATCAAGAAAAAAGTTATTTTGCGTTTTAATAGCCATAATAAAATATGTGTCTAAAGTCGTATACATATATAATAAGGTTAGCAAGTTACATACCTGGGCGAGGATATTTTTAAACAATGTTTAGAGCCTATTGAAACTAAAGTAATAGGAACTTAAAAAAAAATTGTTTTTTTAAATATGATAAATTAGTAACAGCTAATAACATTAGAATATGTAGTCATAAGAAATTATTTAAAAATTTGTTTATAACTACATTTAATTTAACTTTTAAATTTTTTTATAACAAAAAAAAAATAAAAAATAAAAATAAATAAAAAGGATTTTTATAACGTCATTAGAGTCTTAATAATATTAATTAAATTTACAAAGCTTAAATTTCAAAAATGTGAAGTTTTAATCGCGTGAATATTGATAATACTTTGTTCTTTGTGAATATAAACTATTGGATAAAATTTTATCAAATAAATACGTCAAACATTTAACAAAAATAATTTATTAGTAGGGAAAAAGCGCCTATGATGGCATACTTAAGTTTGAAGCTTTATAATTCAGTATTCAGAATACTGAAATATAAAGCTAGAAAGACCTAGAACAAAGTTTTGATATGGATACATTTTTTGTAGAATAATAATGACTCTAGGAGTTTTAATCAGTTTTATGTTTTTATTAATTTTTATTTAAAAAAGCAAGTACGCCATCATAGGCAATTACTGCTCCTATGATAACATTGTGCGGATGGGGCTGGTTAGCAGCAAGTGTAACTCGACAATTTAATTACGAGAAATTACTCGTAATCATCCTAATTAACCCCTTCGCGCTACACAGCAGCAGTGTAGAATTTCGCGCATGCGCATAATCATGCCAGAAATTACCCGTAATCATCCTAATTAACCCTTTCGTGCAACACGGCATCAGTGTAGAACTTCGCGCACGTGCATAAGAAATACTGCGTTTTGTGTGTTTTTAAACCAAAAATTTCTTAATGATGTAAAAATTCCTTTTTAATTTATAACAAATATGTTGTTTTTATGAAAAAAAAAAAAAAAAAAATTCTTAACTTGTCAATATTGCAACACATCTAAATTGTCAGTATGCCATCATAATAAGAAGTCATCATTTTCATTTAAACAAGCTGTCTGCCTTTTTAAAAAGATAAAATTAAAATCATTATTTCACTAAATGCACAAAACTTGGAAATAAAATGCATGAAAATTTCATTTCTGCAGAGTTAATAATGAAATCACTATCTCAAATATTTAAAGGGATTAAAGTAACAACTGCACATTCCAAAATTGATTTTTGTTGATTGCAAAAGCAATATTTGTGCATTAGAGATGTATTTTCACTAAAACGAATATAAAGACAGTATTGTCATGTTAGTCTAATTGCTTTTTCACCATAACCAATATTTATAAAAATATGAAAGGTATGCCATCATAGTCGCTATCCCATTAAAGGCGTCTTTACCCTAATTCTTAGCTTATTAATACGTTGTTTTTGTGCATTTCAATGTTGACGAAATATTTGCTGTTGTTGGCTCTAAAAAGTTAAAAATGTAATAGAAATTTAAAAGCTTTGAAATATAGATCTGAAAAAAAGTTATTTTGTGTTTTAATAGCGATGATAAAGTATGTCTGAAACGTTTACATAAAAAAATTAGGTATAGCAAGCTAAATATCTGGGCGACAACTTTTTGACTCTAAGTCTCAAATATTTAAAGGGATTAAAGTAACAACTGCACATTCCAAAATCGATTTTTGTTGATTGCAAAAGCAATAATTAAAAACTTTTGCAATCAACAACTAAAGTTATTAGAGCTTTAAAAAAAAAACTGTTTTTTTAAATACAGTAAACTAGTAACAGCCAAAAAGCAATTTAAATATATAATAATGTGAAATTATTTAAAGTTTTGGTTTATAAGTACATTTAATTTAATTTTTGAATTTTATTTATAACACAGAAGAAAAAAAAAAAACAATAACAAAAAAAAAAAAAAAAAAAAAAATTTTATAACGTCATTAGAGTCTTAAGAAATATAATTTAATTTAAAAACCCAAAATTCAACTTTGTGAGTTTTTAATCGTGTAAATTTTGATAATACTTTGTCCTTTGTAAATATAAAATGATAGAAAATAATTATTAAAAACAAATACGTCAAACATAAAATAACATTTAAATAAAATCATTTATTAGTAATTCTTAGCTTATTATTACTTTGTTTTACTGAATTTCAATATTAACAAAATAATTGCTTTTGTTACCCGCTATAATAGTTAGGATTAATTTTTTAATTTAAAAACTTTGAAAAATAAATCTGAGTTTAAAATGACATTGAAGTACAATTCTCAAACAATTATATTAAATATTTTTGACTAATATTTATAATCTTATCAATAAATCTGTTTTTGATTTTAACCTGCCAATTACATAAAAACCTATAAATTCTAAATCTTTTTTGCAAAAGTCAAAATCAACGTCCTTCCACACTAAAACGCAACAAGTTGTTGTCACACTGAAACGAGATGTTTAAGTCTTTAATTGTGATATCATTTGTTTTAACTTTAATTTATGGAAAACCAATAATCGATGGTAAGTAATACTTTAAATTAATATATAAACGTATATAAAATTTCTTGAATGGTCAATCGTGTCTCCAGCCATCATAGGTAAATAAATAAAATATTTAGACTGAAGTTTTGGACGTATATTAAACTTGTATTGAATTAAACGAGACTATCTTAGAAGAAAACGGCAAGATAGCAAATGTCTTGAAAGTCCTAAAATATTGCAAAATTATTAGTTACGAATCAATAACACATTGTCAGTATGTTTATATTATCATAATGAAAAATTGCCCGCATGAATCTTCAGTTTGCAAGTAAAAAAAATTTTAACAAAAAATAAAATAAAAATGTTCATAAATTTGTCATCTGTTAACGTGACCGGGAAAATATGACTTATTATGCGATTTCTGTTTCAAATTCTGTAAAATTTTAAAAACTACCAACTACTATAACTAAAGTAACACAAAATAAACACGCGTTACATAAAAGTATTCCTAAAGAAGTCACACTGAAGGACATTATCCATTAAAAATTACTGAAACCTAATTATTTTTTTGAAGCGCAAAAAGTAAACTTATACTTATAAAATTGCGTTAGTAATACTTAAATAAACAATTAGCATTTTAAAATACTTGATGTAAACAGTTTCTTTTTCACTCATTTTTCTCGTCACTTTTTTTCCTATGCGTAAAAATTTATTTATAAGGTCAGTAGCTAGAACACTTATAATGGGTGTCGGAGTTGTAAAATTGTTTTAAACCCCATAGTTGTAAAACTTTATATTACTATAGTAATTTTTATAGACTATATATAACTATAATAATAAAACCAACCTCTTATCTAATCTATTTTGAAAAACAAACTCCAATCAACTAAGAAAAGACTAGTTGGGGAACATTTACACAACGTACCCAAAATTAGTAAGATTTGTTTTAATAAACGAGTCTTACCAAGGTTTAGGTGCGCTGTTTGAAGGTCAACTGAACAGGTAGTTTTTTTTATTGAGATTATTATCTTTGGAATAACTTGGTTTTACCTTATTTTTATTTTTTTACTAAACTGTCTTATGCTTTATTCAAACAAGCTTGAGAAATTATATCATTTTAATAAAAAACTTATCTAAGTTTGATGGAAAATTTAATAAAATAATCTCTTTAAACATAGTTTTACGACTGACACTTCTATCGCTTTGCTTAAATCAAGAAAGCAACCAAACACATAAACTCTTTTTAAGTTTGTAGTAATTAACTACTAAGTTACAAACTGAGCACTAATACCTCTATAATGACATGATCAAAGCCAAGTTTGTATTTAACATTAGTTAAGTTATGAGATTTAATGATATTGTCTAATATAAAACTATATGTTGACAAAAGTTTGTGGCAATTTATAACTAATTAACAACCAATAAGGTTATTATTCTTTTTAAGAGTTTCAAAATTATATTAGGATCAATTTCTCCGATTATCTAATATGTTATGTTATTACAAACTAGTTCTAGTTACAAATAATAATTTAATTACAAATTTTTTATCCCTTTTAATCTCATAATTTACCAAATGATCAGTATCAGTGTCTTTTCAAAGCAAATTACTCAAATAGCCATTAATACACAGTGCATGAGCAATTAGTTAACTAAAAAGAATTTGTTTCTCGGATTTTTTGTTTATAAAAAATTGTTTTCTAAAGCCTTTTCTAATATTGGTCCTATTTATCCTTTTTTTAGTAACTTAATGAAAATCTAAAGCAACCCTATTAAATTAATTACATTTTAAAAAATGCATCAAAATTAATTAAAACTTAATTCAACTTAATTAATTAAAACTTAATAACTTTTTCATGAACTTGCACGGGAATCTTAAAACTTGTACTCGTTTTAACCAATATAGATTCCAAATAAATTAAAATTAAGTAAATTTTTAACATATCTGAAAGGAAAAAAAGGACAGAAAATCAGTATAAAAAGAAGTCAAATGACAAAATGTCAGTCTATTAAAATGGTAAATAACATGATTATATGGTGTTTCACTATGCTGTGTCCAAACGACACTGAAATTTATAGAAATAACAAGACTATTTGGTATTTTATTATGCCTTATACATATTGGTCCTATTATTAAATTTTATCCTTTCTTAGTAATTTAATGAAAAATTAAAGCAAAACTATTAAATTACAGGGTTTTGCAAAGTTATAAGTGCATGTTGGCAAAGTTATAAGTGCACGCTTGCAAAACTATAAGTGCACGCTTGCAAAGTTATAAGTGCACGCTTGCAAAGTTGTAAGTGCACGCTTGCAAAGTTGTAAGTGCAAATATATATTTTTGGGAATTATTTTTTTTAGTTTTAAAAAATGAAAAATATTGCGCAAAATATTAAAATAAATTACATCATAGCAATCGAAAAGTGTTTTTTTTTTTTTTTTTAAAAAAAAAAAGCGAATAATTAGTGAAAATTCTTTACATTTTTACTTAATTTAGCATATCGTTATATATCAACAACTTTTCTAGATTAGATACTTACTTTCCTTAAGTTTTAAAAAATAGTATACATTACTTAATCATAAAATTTTTTAATCATACATTATTTAAAAAAAATAAACAAATCATTTCAAATATTTTATTATTCTTCTCTTCTTATTGCCTTTTCGAACGATCTTCTCATATTTATAAAAAAGACATTACACTGTTGACTACAATTAATATCAGGTTATAAAATATATTCTAGAGTTTTTTCAATGTCATATCGGGATTATCATTTCTTTTGGATTTAAAATTGGATTTTAACATTGAAAAGAACTCCTCGATTGGGTTCGATTCAAGGGAGTATGGTACTAAAAACTTGTAATATTTTTAATAGTATATTTTTTTCTCTTAGCAAACGAAATACTGCAGCTGCTGTATGAAATTTTGCATTATCTATTATATTATTTGGATTTACTTCAAAGAATAGTAATAGTTTGTTGTTGATGAAATCAATAAATGATTGTGTATTGTATGCGCCGCTTTTTTATTGGAAACATTTAACTCCTAAATTGGAAATTAGGCACATAAGGCTAACATTCTCTCCTTTATTTGCAGGAATTGTCAAGTATGCTTATTTATCTTTTAAAGAATAGCCTTATGAGCGCATTTTATTGATTCCAGTTTCGTCTAAAGGAAACTGGATTCAATAAAGATTCAATCTTTTTTGAGGAATGATTGCTAATCTTTTTCGTGTCCAATTTAATTTCTTTAGTTTACGGGAAACAAACGAGATCGAAACGTTTTTATCGTGTTGTTCTAAAATTTGCGTTTGAATTTCTTTTTAAATTTAAATTACAAATAATTAAACATTATTTGTTCGATGTTTGTATTTATAGAATTTTTAATTTAATTTTTTTTCTTTTTACTGTAGATGACGTGAAGGGTATATTATCATCACTATTTTTTATAACGCGACTAACAACATTTCGAGTTAAGTTACGAGCGCTGGATAATTCCTTGATTAAACATTTTTCATAATCATATTTTTAGTTTCTTCGGTAATTGTTTTTTGTGCATTTCTTTCCATTAATATTTAAAATATAAGGATCAAAATTAATTTCTTTTTACTTTGCAAACGTGCACTTATAACTTTGCAAACATGCACTTATAACTTTGCAAACGTGCACTTATAACTTTGCAAACGTGCACTTATAACTTTGTAAAACCTTGTAATTTGTAATTACATTTTAAAAAATGCATCAAAATTATTATGTTAATTAATTAAAACTTAATAACTATTGAACTATTACACTGTTGAACCAGCCTTATTACTATAGTAATAAGGCTGGTTTAACAGTGTTAGTAATAGCATATTTAGAAAGTGTCTGAATAAATAAGGTATTAATTTTTATGTAACTACAAGAAAACTGCTCCTAAGGGCAACAGAGAATTTAAAGATATATGTCGGGTAAAGAAAAACTTCATTGTTTAATAGAAGTTTTGTTTAAGGTTGTTTTTAGTGATGAAATAAACCAAGAGTGCAAGATGGTGGTGGCTTTATTGGTATAAGACGATTGATTTCTCGTAAAGAGATAAATTTTAAAAATTTGTTAATAGAGAATTAACCAGTATAATTGCAAAAAGACAATGGAAAAAAACCTTTAACCTACTGTTATATCATTATTGGAAGGCGTAAAAACCTAGTTTTCCATTAATATTGCGCATCAGCACATACTATCATTTCGGTGAAATAGCAGTTTTAAAGGCAACATTTTACTTTTCTAACCTGCCCAGCGCAATCATGAATGGACAAGAAATCATCGATAGAGATAGAATGTGGAAATCGTTTTAAAATGTGCAATTGAAACTGGCACAAGAATAAACTTGAAACTAAAATCCAAAAGAGCTATATGTGCATATGATTGAATCCGTGCCAATACATATTCAAAGCTTCCTAAAAGCACTCGGTGGTCACGCAAAATACTGATTTAATGCGTGACCATATTTTGTCGAATTTTTTGATTTTTTCCGTAAAAATACGATGGGTTTTCTCGGTTAAATAACGGACAGTTAGGTCATTGGCAAATGCCGGAACATTTCCATAAATAAACGGATGCTTCCGTTTAAATTAAACAAGCATTTTCCCGTTAAACAATAGAATAGGTTGCAGTAACTCCGTAAATAAAAGTAATTTACACGAATAAATAATAAATTAGTTAAGTTAAACTTTCAAAAAAAGACTTTCAAAAAATTTATAATTTTGATAAAGTATATAAAGGCACATAATAATATAATTATATTACATATCCCTAAATACAATTACAATATAGATATACTTAAAAAATCTTTTAGTAATATATATTGCTTAAATAATAAATATAAATATTAGTAAATCAATCCAAATACACAAAAATACAGTCTTTTCTTTCTTAGAATAAAACTTAGAATAAAAGTGCCTAGCTTGTAAGGAATTATAAAAAAATTTGCAGAGAAGTACCTATTTCAATCATAACTATGGATAAGAGCTACATTAAGCTCATATTTTAAAATCAGATGGCATGACACTCACTGTTTACCAGAGCAAGATAAAGAAAAATATCATAAATATCATATTTCTATTTTGATAATGCTAAAGAACTCAAGAAACAGTATAATTTTAAAATGAAACTAATATGTGCTAGATATTGTATACCAAATGGACAGAAATTATACTGCAAGAACCTGTAAAAGAGTATGAGCTATCAGGCATAATTGCATGAATACTCTCCAAAGAATTCAACAAGTAGATAATTTCTTTCAAAAGTTAGCCAAAGAGTTAATAAAACCATATTCACAATCAAGGTGACAGGCATATGTTTATTCATTACATTTTCGTTGGTTTTTTAGATTAATCAATGAGCTGTTTAGACATTGTTATTGAGTTTATGAGCAATAGGCAAAGATTTTTTTTAAATCAATTTAAAACAAAAAATTAGTTGATTATTAAACATTTTTTTGAATTCACCAGGATTTAATCCCCATTTTTCAATAGCTTTTCAGTAGGCATTTTATGATTTTGCAAAAGTTTTTTATGTGTAACACAATAAAGTACTTTTAGTTGCTTATATATTATTTTTAAAATTTAACTTTTTTTAGTTATATTTTAATAAGAAATTTTAACTTATTTTAAGTTCAAAATAGTTAAACTGTTCCTAATTTTTTAATTTAATATTTAATTTTGCTTACTGTTTTAAATAATAACTACAGTGGTCAGCCATCGCATTAGGACCAGCAGTAGTATTTTGAAAACATTGCGTAAACATGAATGTTTAGGCAAAAAGAATAATAATGATGAATTTAAATCTTATTCTTCTATTTATAAAGTTATACTTGATAAATAAACTAATAAAATTAAACATTTTGAATATATATTGGTTATTATGGTAAATAATATAAAATGTATTTAAAGTACTAATGTTTTGTAAAACCGCCATTATTTGGAATAACTACAGAATTGCCAATTGAAAAAATTTCATTAAATATTACTAAGAATAGAAATAACTTAGCATGTAACAAAAAGCAATATTATGTTTATTTTAACATATTTGGGTTTGAGCCATTTATTTTTGAAATAAATTGTAAAAGAAACGTGTGATCCTAATGTGATATCTGTGCACTGTATATAATTACTAAACTTTAAAATAGCTCAAAACATGTAAACGAACCCAATAAAATAAATTACTGTTAGATTTTAAACCTTGTTAGCATAAGGATTTCACTTAAATCAAAGAATTATAACAAATAAATTATAAACTCATATTGAAAGAAGTATACTTTATATATATATATATATTAATTTTGTATGCAAACAGTTTTAAAGTCAACAGTTACATACTAGAATAAAGCAAATTTAGATCAGCTTTTGCATCAGCATTTTTGAATGCTAACCTGGATTTTGCAATTTTATAATTCTTTAGTTTTTGTTAAAGGTTATAGCATTCGGATATAAAGCATAGTATTGTGTAAACATAATTTTTTTACATTTTTTACATTTTGCAACTCAATTGTTTTATTGTAGTATAAATTGTTGTAACCTAATTTTACTTTTATTAAAATAATTAGTTAAAAAGTCAAATATCATGCTGTAATTGTCAATAATTATTTTAAATAATATTTCAATGAATATATTTGTAAAATTTTCAAATAAAAAGTAATATTTATTTGCATCAGTAAATTTTGTTTATTTGAGAGAGTTGTATAGTTTATTCTTGACATTTTATTTTAACTTATTTTTTTAAGTTAAAATAAATAAATTGCAAATTATAAAATTAAAACTCTATTATTTAGTTTAAATTAAATATATACTTTTAATATTATGTTTAAAATTTAAAATAAAATTAGTTTTAATATAAAACGAACAATTGTTTGTTTTTTATTAAAACTAATAGTTCTAATTTTACTTAAATAATAAAGTAAATTTAATTTAAGCTAATAGTAGAAAAGCAAATAGTAGAACCAAATATTAAAGTCTATTTAATTTAAACCTAATATTAAAGTATATTAGGTTTAAACCTAATATTAAAGTATATTAAATTTAAACCTAATATTAAAGTATATTTAATTTAAATGTAATATTAAATTATATTTAATTTAAACCTAATATTAAAGTATATTTAATTTAAACCAAATATTATAGTATATTTAATTTAAACCTAATATTAAAGTATATTTAATTAAAACCTAACAGTAAAGTAAATTTAATTAAACCTAATATTAATATTAATATTAGGTTTAATTAAATTTATTATAATATTAAAATATTAAATATATAATATTAAATATATAATATTTAAATATATTTAATTTAAACCTAATACTAAAGTATAGTTAATTTAAATGTAATAGAAAAGTATATTTAGTTTAAACCTAATAGTAATTTTATTTAAACATAATATCAAAGTATATCTAATTTAAACCTAATAGTAGAGTTTTAACTTTATAATTTGCTTTTTTTAGACAATGAAAGATTGGTTACATGCACATTTCTTTGAAATTAATAAAAAAAAGCTTTTTTTTTTTAAAAATATCTAATGTCTTTTTAGCATAATTTGAGTTTAAAGTTTCATTTGTTTTCTTATATTGTTTTGTTAAATTTAATTTTTTTTTGATAAAGGAAGTTAGTAGTTGTTTCCTTTTGTACTTTTTTTTTTTATAAATTAATGCTTAAATTAGAGAATAAAGTGTTTTATCTTTTATTGTAGTAATTTAAAACATTAATAACATTTTATATTTGTTTTAGATGCATGTACACTGGATGGATGTCCTGAAAATATTGAATGTGTAATAAATCAAAACAATATAAAAGTATGCATATGTCCAGATACATTTATTTATGATGGCAGATCATGCAGTAAGTTAAAAAAATGAATACAATTATTTTTCTCATAATGTGTGTTTAACGCAGCTATATGCATATGTATTTTTATGTGAACTGTTTTAACTGTTTTCTAGCAATTAAAGAATTGATTTGCAGTTTTTTTTCTTCTATAGAAATCTTTACATATTGATACATTTTGATAGTAATTGCAAGCTTTTTTTTTTTTAATTAAATGGAGTTTTTTTTTTTTTTAATGTCTTAAAAATTATATTAGTTAAGTATTAGTTTACATATTTGAGTGGCATGGTTTTTTCAATTATAAGTTATTTTTCCATTATTTTTAATCAAAAGATATACTTACAAAAATCTTTTTTTGTATCCCCTAATCTATCCCCTAAAAAAACATACTGTGATTGGCTTATCAACTGTTGCATAATAGTTAAATGTGTCACCTAAAATATATTATAAATAACTGTTTGCAATATTATTGTTTGACAATTATATATAGGTTACGACCACATTTTTTTTTAATAAGTGTATATTTTGAAAATGTAAAGTGTTTTATTAAATACTATTTGTTTTAGTTTTTACTTGTGTTCATATGTTCTTTTATTAAATATTTCTTTCATTAAAGAAAGCTAATATTTGTTTATACATTTTTTTTAAAATTATAGTTAAATAAAATAGTTGTAAAGAGTTTTATTGTGTATTATAATATTATAAACGTTCATAGCATTATTAATCCTTTGTTTTTTTTATATTAGTTGAAGATCCTTGTGCGAAACCAAATTTATGTCCGGCCGAAAGTAAATGTCTAATTACTCTACTAAAGACTGCAGCATGTCTATGCCCAGATAAATATGTGTATGATGGCAAATCATGCAGTAAGTTATAAAAAATGACTACAATTACTTATCTAATGAAAAGTGTGTTAGACACTGCTATATACATTTGTATTTTACATGAGAGTTGCTTTAATTATTTTCTAGCAGATAAAAAATTGTTTTGTTGTGATCTTATTTACTAGAAATCTTTACATAATAACTGTATTACCCTCAAGCTTTTTTATTTTACCTAAATGAAGTTTTTTTTTACTGTCTCTAAAACGTTAGTATTTTGGTAAAAGTTTACATATTTAAATGGCATCGTTATTTTCATAATTTTCTTTTACTTTTTTAAAAGATAAATTAGTTTTTAAAATTCTTAATTTTTTAAAAAATTTTTACAAAAAAGACAAATATCATGCTGTGAGTGACTTATATACCGATGCATGATGATTGAATGTGTCACTCAAAAGATGCTTAAGTTTTAAAAATCAACCATTATTTCAAATAAATGCTCAAATTTTTTTTTACTTGATATAAATAAAAATTTTATTAAAAGGTTATTTTTAAAAGAAACTTTATAAAAGACTTTGTCAAAGTCAATAAAACCTCCTTTCAGTGTCATAGATATTTTAATAAATGTTAAATTAGTTATCATTGTTTATGTTTGATTTTTTCTTTTTTAATATTTACTATTTTAATGCTATACAGATTAAAAGTAATATTTTTTATTTTATAGTATTATTAGAGAATCTCAATTCTCCTGCTGGTAAGCTTAACAGTTTTTAAGATGATTTTTTTTTTCTCATTTAACAAATTAGATCTTATCAGGTCCATATATAAGCTTTTTTTTAACAAAAGTTTTAACTTTATGTTTTTAAATTTTCTTATTTCAACCTGAATTTGTATATTTTTTGTTAGATTTAATAGATAAAATAAAAATTATTGTATAAATATCTGTTTGGAACCCAATATTTAGACAATGAAATATGGTTTGCTAGCACATTTCTTTGTAATTGTTGTATAGAAAACATTTTTTTTCGAAATAGCTAATTTTTTGTGTGCATAATTTGAGTTTAATGATTTATTAGTTTTCTTTTATTGTTTTGTTTAATTTTTTTACCTTGAATGAAAGTAGTATTTGTATTCCTTTCTACTTTTTTTCTTTTCTTTTTTATTTAAAAAATGTTAAAAATAGAGAATTTTACTGTCTTTTATTGTTTGTTCTAGTTATTTAAAACATTGATAAAAGTGTTTAACATTTTTTTCTTTTAATAATGGTTTTAGATGCATGTGTGCAACCGGAACCATGTCCTCAAGAATTTGATTATGAATGTATGATAGGTCCAAACAATACTGCAACATGCTTTTGTCCAACTTATTTTATTTTTTATGGCGGATCATGCAGTAAGTTAAAAAAAATGTAAACAAATAGTTATCTTATAATGTGTGATTGGCGCAGCTGTATGCATCTTTTTTTTCATGAGAGTTGTTTGAATTATTTTCTAGCAGTTAAAGAGTTATTTTATAGTATTCTTTTTTATAGTAATTTCCTAGAAATCTGTACCTAATAACCCAGGCTTTGCAATAAAGCATCGGACGATGTAAATTTTACGTAGTCCAAAAGCGATTTTGCATGTAGCTAGGACTATTTGCGTAGAGCAAAGAATTTTTTGTTTGAGTATATTTAAAGTTTTTTTTGGGCGAAATTTTAATGAAGTAATTTACGATTATTTTTACATTTAATAAAGTATTTTAAAAACCGCACGCAGTTGTTATAAAGTTTGAGTTATAAAAAAATTAAATTATTTACAAGTAGAAAAAATTCAGATAAAAAAAAAGTTTAAATCTATTTAAGCTAACATTTTAATAAAATTATTCAGAAATAGCAAAGTGTTCGATAAAATTGAACAAAAATACTTTCTTTTAGTTTTAGATTTTTATTTTACAGGGGTTTATTAGGGTTTATTAAAATTATTTTATAGATTTAAAAATATTTATTAACTGTTAGACGTATTTAAAGTGTTTAATAGTAATTTTGAGGAAACATTTTAGAGATTGGTAAGCGCAAATAAAAAAATTTAAAGGATTAATATTAAAACGTATTTAACTTTCGGATTCAATAAAAATGTAAAGTCATTAAAATTTTTGTAAAAAGTAACTCAAAAAAAAAATACTTAAATAATAACAATCGCTTTTTTGTTCAAAGTTATTGAAACTCTTTTACTTATTTTGGTAGAAATAAAATTTCTTGTAAACATAAAAAATTTATTCAAAACGTTTGTTAAAGTTAATTAGTAATACGAGTGATTGTGCTTATCAACCGCTTTATGAAAGTAAATAAAAACAAATAAATAAAAAAATATTATATAAAATCGCTGGTAAAAATATTAGCTATTGCACAGTTTATAATCGTACATTATTAAATATTCCAGTTTATTACTCGATGACTTTTTAAAAAGAAAAAATAATTATTTGAAAAACTTTAAATTACATATTTGAGAAAAAAATATCAAATATTAGCATATTTTATAATCTTTTTTAAATGTTTATTAATGTTTTTTATTCGTTTAATATAGACAAAACGTGTCAAACGTCGAGAAAATAAAACATTTTAAAAAACGAAACATTCGAAAACATTTTAAATAATAACATTTCTACATTAATGATTTAAAGTAGTTTTGCAGTAAATAAGTAAATTGGTGCAGTTAATGTCAATAAATATGAAAAGCAAATAAAAAGAATTTAATGACATCAAAAATCACGTGGTGCTTATGTGTCACACAGTTTCTATTCTTCACAAGGCCTGATAACCCTAATAATAATTATGAACTTTTTTTTAACAAAATAAAGTTTTTTTATTTAATTGTCTTAACAATTATATAAGTTAAAATATAAGTATACATATTTAAATGGCATCGCTTTTTCCTTAATAAGTTTTTGTTTTAATTATTTTTTCCATCAAAAGATATAAATTTTTAAAAATATTAGTTTTGTATAATCTATCCACTAAAAAAAACATTCTGTGGTTGGTTTATCAACTGTTGCAAGATTGCTAAATATGTCACTTAAAATATTGTATAAATATCTGTTTGCAATACACTTTATTGTCAATAATGACAATAAAGTGTATTGCAAACAGGTTATGAGCACATTACTTTTTAATTAATGTATATAAAAGATTTTCTTTTAAAAAACGTTGCATACTATTATATATAGTTTTAGTTTTTGCATACTATTATATATAATTTTAGTTTTTGTGTTCATATATTGTATCGTTACGTATTTCTCTCATTGAAAGAAGCTAATATTTGTTTGTACATTATTTTTTCAGTTATATTTAAATAATATAGTCAGGGCTGTGGAGTCAGAGTTGTGGAGTTGCAACAATTTTAGTGGAGTCCGAGTCGGAGTCGCTAAAAAATATCGCAACTCCGACTTCGATAATAATATTTCTTGGTATTGCACGTGTGTGTACAAAACATTCAATAAACCTTATGTTTATACTAAACTTCAAAGAATGTTGCATAAATTTGTCAAAAAAAAGTTTAAACTTATAGCGCAATATTATTTAAAGAATACAAAGAATTTTTCAAAAATTTTGCTTTGGAGTCGGAGTCCGAGTCCGAGTTGGAGTCTGAGTTGGAGTCGGAGTTGTACTCAAAAAATTTCAACAACTGGAGTCGGAGTCGTTACTTTTTTTTTATGACTCCACACCCCTAAATATAGTTGTAAAGTGTTTTATTGTGTATTATAGTATTATAAAAGTTCAAAAAAATGTTAATGCCCTGTTTTTTTTTATTAGTTGAAGACCCGTGTGCGAAACCAGGTGTATGTTCAGCTGATAGTAAATGTCAGATTAATCTAGATCAGAATGCAATATGCAAATGTCGAAGTGGTTATTTTTATAATGGCAAATCATGCAGTAAGTTATAAACAAAATTTCCTATCTAATAAAAAGTGTATTTGACAAAGCTCTGTAAATCTGTATTTATCACAAGAGATGGTTTAATTATTTTCTAACAAATTAAAAATTGGTTTGTATTAATCTTTTTTTTCTTGAAATCTTTACCTTATAACTTTATTATTTACAACTTTTTTTTTTTTTATCTAAATAATTTTTTTTTTTATTTGTCTTAACAATTATATTAGTTAATAATTGGTTTAAACATTCGAATAGCATCGTTTTTTCCATAAGTTTTTTTTTACCATTTTTTATCAAAAGATAAATAAATTTTAAATTATCTTAGTTTTATATAATCTATACCCTAAAATACAAAACACACTGTGATTCGTTATTCAACTTTTTCTAGATGGTTAAATGTTTCACCTAAAATATTGTATAAATCTGTTTTCAGTTTACTTTATTGACAATGTATATGGTTATGAGCACATTTCCTTTCAATTAATGTATATATTTCAATTTTATATTTCCTTTCAATTAATGTATAATTTATGTAAACATTTTCTTCAACTTTACATTTTCTTTTAGAAAATGTAAAGTTTTTTTTGCATACTTTAAGTTTCAATTTTTGTTTGTTTTTATATATTCTTTTGTCAAATATTTTTTTGATTGAAGGATGCTATTATTTGTTTGTATATACTTTTTATTTATTCATAGTTAAATAATATAGTTGTTAAGTGTTTTATTGTGTATAATAGTATTGTAAACGTTCATAACATTTTTAATCTTTTGTTTTTTTTTATTAGTTGAAGACCCTTGTGCGAAACCGGATGTATGTCCAGCTGAAACTAAATGTCAGCTTAGTATACATACAACTGCAGTATGCCTTTGTCCAGATGGAAATGTTTATGATGGCACACCATGCAGTAAGTTATAAAAAATGTCTGCAATTACTTATCTAATAAAAATGTGTTTGACACAGTTATAAACATCTGTATTTTTTATGAGAGTTGCTTTATTTGTTTTTCAGCAGATAAAGAATTGTTTTGTAGTAATCTTTTTTTACTAAAAGACTTTACCTAATAAGTTTAATATTTTCAAATTATTTTTTCATCTAAATAAGGTTTTTTTTTTTTTTTTTTTTACTGTCTCCACAAAATTAGTATTTAAGTAATAGGTTATATATATATATATATATATATATATATATATATATATATATATATATATATATATATATATATATATCATTTTTTAGAAGAAAATTTTTTAAAAACCTTAGTTTTTGTAAAAAGTTCTTAAAAAAGACAAATATCGTGCTGTAATTGGTCTACTGTTGCATGATAATTGAATGTGTCACCCAAACGATGCTTTAGTTTTAAAAGTCAATTATTATTTCAAATAATTTCTCAATTTTTTTTTTTTTTGATTCAAATAACATTATTATAAAAAGATTGTTTTTAAAAGAAGTTTTCTAAAGGACAGTGTCAATGTTGATAAAATCTCATGCCAGTGTTAAAGTTATTTAATTAAATGTTAAATTAGTCATCATTGTTTATGTTTTGTTTTTGCTTTCTTTTTTTAATATTAACTATTTTAATGTTATACTGATTATTAAGTAATATTTTGTTTATTATAGAATTAAGGAATCCCAAAACTCCAGCTCCTACTGGTAAGTTTAACTGTTTTAAATGTGGTTTGTTTTTTATTTAATAAATTAGATCTTATCAAGTCCATTATGAGCTTTTTTTTTTAACAAAAGTTGTAACTTTATGTTTTTAAATTTTCTTATTTCAACCTAATTTTGTATATTTTCTGTTAGATTAAATAGAAAAAATGAAAATTATTTTATAAATATCTATTTGCAACCCAATTTTTATACAATGAAATATGGGTTACAAGCACATTTCTTTGTAATTGTTGCATAGAAAACATTTTTTTTAGAAATATCTAATGTTTTTTTTTGCATAATTTGAGTTTATAGATTTGTTAGTTTTTTTATATTGTTTAGTTTACTTTTTTTACATTAAAGGAAATTAGTGTTTGTTTTCCTCGGTACATTTTTTGTTTTATTTTTTAATTAATCAATGTTAAAACTAGAGAGCTTTACATTGCTTTATTGTTTATTTTAGTAATTTAAGATATTGATAACTTTGTTTAACCTTTGTTCTTATATTAATTGTTTTAGATGCATGCATGTTACCAGATGCATGTCCTCAAGATATTGATTGTATGATAGGTCCAAACAATACTGCTATATGCCTATGTCCAGATAATTTTGTTTATGATGGCAAATCATGCAGTAAGTTAAAAGAAATAAATGTAAATAGTTATCTTGTAATGTTTGACGCAGCTATATACATCTGTATTTTTATTGAAAGCTTTTTTAGTTATTTTCTAGCAGTTAAAGAATTGTTTTGTAGTAATTTTTTTCTTAATTTTTTTCATAATAACCTTAATAATAACTATAAGCTTTTCTTTTAACAGAAAAAAAAAGTTTTTTATTAATATTAAGGTTTGCTTTATTTTTTAATTATCTTAACAATTATATCAGTTAATTATTAGCTTAAATGTTTGAATGACTTCGTTTTTTCCATAATAAGTTTTTTTTTCCATTTTTTTTATCAAAAGAGAAATTTTTGAAAATCTTAGTTTTGTATAATCTACCCCTTAAAAATAAAACATAATGTGATTGGCTTATCACCTGTTGTATGATTGTTAAATTTGTCACCTAAAATATATTATAAATATATGTTTGAAAACAATTTACTTACAATGATATATAGGGTAGGAGCACATTACTTTTTAGTTAATCTAAATAGAACATTTTCTTTTAGAAAATGTAAAGTTTTTTTTGCACTTTTTGAGTTTTAATTTTTTTTTGTTTTTATAAATTCTTTTTTTAAATATTTCTATCATTGAATAAAGCTAATATTTGTTTGTACTTTTTTTAAATTTAATCATTGTCAAATGTTATAGTTGTAAATTGTTTTATTGCGTCTTATAGTATTATAAATGTTGATTAAAGTATTAATGCTTTTTTTTTTTTATTAGTTAAAGACCCGTGTGCAACACCGGGTGTATGTCCAGCTGAAAGTAAATGTCAGATTAGTCAACTAAAGACTGCTGAATGCATTTGTCGAATTGGCTATGTTTATGATGGCAAATCATGCAGTAAGTTATATAAAAATTTATACAAATATAAACCTTGAATAAAAAAAGTGTGTTTGACGCAGGTATAGGCATCTGTTTTTTTCTGAGAGTTTGTTTAATTGTTTTCTAGCAATAAATAGGATCCCAAAACTCCCAGCAGTGTTGTGTTCAGACTAAAAAAAATGATGAAAAAAAATTGTTTAAGCTAAGTTTTTTGATTAAAACAAAATAATAAATGCATACTTAGAAAAACGTTTTTGATTTAGTAGAAACTCGCCTTCTCTATTTTGTTGTAAGCCAAAAAGTTGGCCTATTATACGTCGAATTCTACATACTTGATAATTTGTTTAAGCGCGTTTTTTCCTAAAGGTTTTAGTCACTGAACAAGCAGTACCACTTAAACAAATTAACATGATTAGGAGATGTTTTTACCAAGCTTTGAAAACGCTTTTTTTTTTTAATAGAAAACTAGTTAGGTATTTCTAATAATTTAGTTTAATATAAAAGCTTTCGATTATTTTAAAAATTCCTAAAACTTTTTCCTTTTTAAATATTCTTAAAAAATTTTTCTTTTTTCTTTTTTTTATCAGTTTACTTTCTTTCTTTAAAAAAATATTTACTATTTCAATTCTATACAGATAATAAAACCTTGAACAAAGTGTGTTTGACGCAGGTAGAGGCATCTTATGAGAGTTGGTTTAATTGTTTTCTAGCAGTTAATGGGATCCCAAAACTTCAAGCAATGTTATGTTCTTATTAAAGAAAAAGATGAAAAAAAGTATTTGGGCTTAATTTTGTGATTAAAACGATATAATAAACGCAGACTTAAAAAATCTAACATTTTAATTTAAGTCAAGCTTACCTTCTATATTTTGTTGTAGGCTAACAAGCGGCCTAATATACGTCGAATTTTACAGACTTGATAATTTATCTAGGCACGTTTTATTCCTGAAAGTTTCAGTCACTGAACAAAGCACTTATACAAACTAACATGATTGAGAAAGGTTTTTAGCAAACTTTATAAAACGCTTCGTCTTTTCAATTGAAAACTAGTTAAATGTTTCTAATAATTTAAACTAATATAAAAGCTTTTGATTACATTAAAAACTAAAACGTATAGGTTGAATGTATGTCACTTGCTGAAGTTTTATTAATCAATTATTTCAAAGAAATGCTCAAATATTTTACTCTCAAATCAAATAACATTTTAATGAGAAGGTTGTCTTAAAAATATATTTTTTAAACAACAGCAACAATGTTAATAAAATCATATTATTGTATCTGCTATTTTAATAAATGCAATCTTTTTTATTTATATATATTCTCAGTTTTTCTTCTTTCTTTAATGAGTTATTTACTATTTTAATGCTATACAGATAATAATTATAATTTTTTTATAGATGAAATCAAGCCTAATGCTATAGATCCTACTGGTAAGCTAATTCATATTCAAGATGATTTGTTCTTTTTTAATTTAAAAAAATAAGTTTTATAAGGCTTTATTTTTTTAATAAGAATTTAAAAAACTCGAAGCCTTGCACATTTGTTCCTATAACTTAAATTAATATTTTTTTGTTATAGATAATCGTATTTTGATTTTAAGCACATTTCTTAGTAATTATTAAATGAAACATTTTCTTTTCAGAATCATTTATATATTTTTTTTATATATGTTTCAGATGTGTGCTATATGTTAGATGTGTTATATATGTTTCAGATGTATGCACAGTTATTTCATATAATAGAATTAGTTTTGCAACGAGTTAAAAGAGTTGTAGATTTGTAGGTTTTTCTTTGGAATCAAATGAAAAAAAAAACAATTGACATTTAATTTTTATTGTTTAAGTTTTGGTTTATTCAACAATGTCATTTTTTCTGTGACTGTGCATCTGTACTTTTGTAAGAATTGGCTTTATTATTTTATCAGATTATCTTTAAAGATTAAAATGTAATACTTTGTTTTTTATAGAACTAAAGAATCCTAATTCTCCAGCTCCTACTGGTAAGTTTAATTTCTTTTGAGATGATTTAAAAAGTCAATAATTATATAAAATAAATGCTAAAATTTTAAATTAAAACTTTCTCAACTTAATTAACATTTTTAAGAAAAAGTTATTTTCAAGTTATTAGTAATAAACTGCAACAAAAAAAAGTACTTTACTAATTAAGTTTTGTTGTAGTTTTTACCTAAAATTTCTCTGTTAGAAGGAATTTAGTAGAATTTGTTGGAATTTAGTAGCATTTGTTTAGTATTAGCCATTGTTATTTTTGCCTATTTACATATTATCGATTAAAAGATTTGAAAAATTTATAAGAAAGTTGTGATAAGCATACGATGGCATATTATGGCAGTTGCATAGCATCACATTTTTTAACAAAAGTATTATGTCTTGTCTGAATGGTGATGGTTCCGAATTACAGTGTTTATCAGAAAGCAAACATGCGTCTTTTTATTATCTTAAAAATATATATTTTTTTCTAATCTTTCTTTGCGTTGAGTGATTACATTATTTTTAACATTCATAACAATAAGAATACTAATAATTTAAATGAGTTTAAATCTTTTAATAAATTTTTTATTCTCTGGTATATAATATGCACCTATGTATTATTATGTTAGTATTTTAAATTGTTCTAGATTCTAAAGGTTTTTTTACATAAATTTGCGCTTACGATAAAATATATTCCCAGCAAACATTGTTTTAGTGGATTTGCAGTGAACCTATGTAGGCATTTTTTAGCGGTTTGTTAGAGTTTTGCTCATCGGTTTCTTAGTAACCCAGAGCAATAAATCTTACAAATCTTAATAAGATTTCTTATTAAGAACCTTAGTAAGATTAGTAAAGATTGCAAGACGTGCAAGAAAACTAATAAGATTTTATTAAGATTTAAAAGTTTACGATCAATTTCTTGTTAAGATTTGTAAGATCTCATAAGATTATTATATAATCATTTTGACCGCACTATATTCAACTCATTTTTTTACGTAGAGGTATAATATCTTATTGCGATAATATGAGTGGAATTTAGTAGGGTATAACTACAAAATAATCTTATAAGATATTTGAATGTATGATCATTACAGATTAGATAGAAGAATACTTATAAAAATTTTATAGACTAAATTTTTTTTCTGTCGTTTGCAAATAAAATAAAAATACAAATACAATTCAAACTTAGATTAGATTGATGCTTAGCAAGTGATAAAACTGTGTAATATAAAACTTGGCATAGTTTAACTGTTTAAATATTTCCATTTTATGTCAAGTTCCATCTGATTGATCTCAATTACAGCTGTGTCGACAAAGTATTTTACAATGGCTTCTTTAATTTTTCTACTATTGTATGAAATTGTTTGGAGTATCTTTCTTTTGCATTTTCACCTGAATAATTTATTTTGAATCGACTAATTAAAACTTTAAATTTTCTGCACCGAAAAATTTTATGCAAAATTAATATTGTTTCATGACAGTTCCTAACCAACAATATCAAATACCTTCCTGAATAGAAGGAAATTGAAAATTAGTTTAAAAGAAAAATAAGATTATACTTATTTTCATTTAACTGTTAACAATAATTACTCAAGACTAAGACTAAGAGTAAAACACGCATTGTTGAAAACTGTACAAGAAAAACCAGTTTCACAAATTTGCACACCTAATAGAATTAATTTGTGTATTTGCATCCTTTTCATTGTGCACTAGTATTTAACTAATACTTCTGACATTATACAAAATATAATTATCAATACAGAAATCAGTAAACAGTCATAAAATATATAAGACTAAGGTAATCAAAAACAAAATGCAATTTTTATCAAAATAAATGTGGGTTTTGTACGCTATGTAGTCTTCAAACAAATGTAATATTTATCAACCTTAAACTATTTCTATACTTCTTCAAGTGTTCCAGAATATACAAGGTGTCTTATTTTTTAACAAATACGTTAAGTACAATAACTTTTACACAATCTTCATACATAGTCTAAAAATTAAATATTGCATATTTATTTTTAATATGAAAAATAATTATTTTAAATTGTTTGTGATTGCACAGTTGTTAGGGTATGGGCAATGTACTTTTACTTATACAGCTAAAATGTAAAACAATAAGTAAATCTTAACCTCAGTCTGTAAAAAGTTATTATTAGAAAGATATATAATACATACTGTTCTAAAATGCTTAAAAAAACCATTTTAAATCTAACACTTTTTTTTCCATTTTGTTTTTGCTAGTTTCTCCTAAAGATTTGCCATAATTATATTAATTTGCCACAATTAACATACTTAACATATTTTTTTTTTCACAACCATTACAAAGTTTTTGTTCTGTGTTCATCATATTTGTCATATTCCAAAAACATATCAAATTGAACTGAAAACTGTATTATACTAGAGCGAGTATATTACATAATGACAGATTTGGGCGTTAAAAGGAAAATACAGTTTTAATATCATTAAATCACCAGAAATTTTTAGATTTGTGCAAAACTTAAAGAAGTATTATCTTATCTTACATCACATTTCAAATAAAAAGTTTCAGGAGATTTGTTGGTGTTGTCTAACTTATGCCTCTTAATTATTATTGGCTTGTTGCAGCTGCTTGTCACCATTTGCTTTTACATATTACATCATTTGCTTTAACATATTTTACATTTATTTTACCTATATTTAACTAAAAACATAATTTAATATCATGTATTATGTTAAATATAAATATATCATATATATATATATATATAAATCTATAAATATATATGTATATAAATATAAATGTCAATCATATTATTACATATATTAAAATATCAAATTATTACATGAATTTAAAATGATAGGTTAATATATTTAATATATTTGATAAAATTCAAAAATTTAGCTCAATAATTCTCAATAATAAAACAAATAAACTCAAATTATAAATAACAAATGATTTCAATATTAAAAAAATATGTAATACAAAAAACATTTTTAAAGGATTTTTTTAAACTACATACATATTACTTTAAAATTTGTTAAATTTGATTTTGTTTTTGTGGATCGAGAAAAATATACTTTTTGCGCACAACAAAAACACATATATAAAAATATATAACATTTCCTCATACAGTTTGTGAACTAAAATTTTTTAAATTATTGTCATATGTTTATATTTTATGTACGTTTATAAGCATGTCGAAATTGAGCAATAATAAAAAAATAAACAGCAAATTCGTATAAAAGTTATCTTTACTTTATTATATACCGTTTGGCAGTTCTTTTACGCAAAAAAGTATTTTTTGCGTAAAAGAACTGCCAAACAGTATATTTCTGACAAAACTTATTAAGATCCCAGCAAACATGTCAGCGTTGAATCAACGTTGAAAACCGGTCGCAAAAGATGTTGCGGAAACGTTGACAAAGTAATTGATTTTGCGAAGATATGTAACGTTGTTAAAGAGGCGTTGTTAAAGAAGCGTTACTGTAACGTTAAGAACGTTACAGTAACGCTTTTCAAATAACGTTTTTTAACGTTGTTAAAAAACGTTATTTGAAAAGCATTACTGTAACGTTGTTAAAGCAGTCGATTTTGCAAGGATTTTTAACGTTGGCAGTAAAATGTCGATTTAACGTGACTGAAAGACGTCGAGTATAGGTTGAAATATAACGTTGAATCAATGCTTAAATGCGCTGGAAAAAAAATCGCAAAATATCATTAAATGTAATTAAACTTGGCTATGATATATATTGAATTTGAAAATAAAACTAAATTCTATGTTGAATTCTGCACTTGTAATATTTCTAAAATCGATTTTTAATACAAACAGTAATATACAACGAAAAATTTAAAATATACAATTTATTCATATAAAATATACAAATTATAGATATATAGATAAAATATAAACATTTTTTTAAAGATTTATGTGTGTGAGTGGATTTACAGGATATCGTATCGATAGGCCAGGATATCATTGAGATACAGAATCTAAATCAAAAAATAAAACTTGTATCATAAGCAGTCTGATAGCAAATGTTTAAAAAAATGTTCTTGAATTAGAATAATCTTTATTAAATTTAAAAAGTAAAAATAAATAAATAAATAAATATATATATATATATATATATATATATATATATATATATATATATATATATATATATATATATATATATATATATATATATATATATATATATATATATATATATATATATATATATATAAATATATAAATAATTTGTATATATGTGTGTGTGTGTGTGTATATATATATATATATATATATATATATATATATATATATATATATATATATATATATATATATATATATCGTCGTAATAGCATAAAATAAGTAATTATTTCTAAAAATAATACGATGATTTTTATTCTTGAAATGTTTTGTAGTAAACGACCGGGGTTGATATTTGACCGGGCCAGGGTTGATAAAAAAAATAGCCGTGGCCAGGTTTGTGACCAGTGCTACATAAAAATTTATACATCCTAAAGTATATTTTTTAAATTTAAAATTTATGTTATATTTTGTATATAGTTATGCATATATGAACATCATTGTGATCAACATGATCATCATAATCATCATTATCATCATCATCATCAACAGCATAAAAGCAGAAAGCTTGACAATGATAAGTAAAACTACGATGATGATGATCATCATCATCATTATGATAATGATCATTATCTTTATTATCATCATCACCACCATTAGGCTTTAGCTGTCCTCTTTTAACTTGTTTTACTAATATAAACAATATAGTTTTATTCCTAACTAAAGCTCATTTTTACAATATGTAAGGCAAACTCTTCAAATTTTCTTACTTCTACCACAACCATTTTATACTGAGGTTGCTACCACTCTACATGTTGATACCTAAATTACTTTAACCTTTTTTCAAATAAATCTGCCTTAGATTATGCCTCCTTTTTATGTCTTGTTAGAGTCACACCACACATCCATCTGATCATCTTTTCTTTTGGCAAATACTACACTATATAAATACTAAAGTTTGTAAAACAATGAAGGAATATTGTATGCCAGGATCTAAGAAAATAGCAAAAAGATATGATTATATATATAATGTGTGCGCAAAAAGTGCATCTTAAAAGCTTATATTGCTTCTGAAACAAAAGTTTGGAAGCTTTTATTACTTTTCTTCAATTTTAAGTCAAGCCTCATTCTTCTCTAGATCTTACTACATTAATAACTTTTTCCATTGTTTTTATAAGAACATTTCTCTTAAGAACAAATTGTCCTTTTTATTATTACAATAAACAAATTTATAAATAAAGTCTTGTCTGATGTAAATCTCTCTTATTCACAGTTTATTAAACCTTGTATCTTATCTTAGATGTTAGGTTCTAGAGACTTTTGATTAATTTTCAACAGTGTAATCAACTCAAGTAAGTCTAACATTTAATCTCTAAATCATGGGTCTGATATTTTTACTTTACCCCACAGTAAAGCAGAGCTAGTTACAAAGAAATTTAACTCTAGTTTGACTCTCGAATATAATGGACATACTCTTCTTGACAGTTGAACAGAATAGTCAATTGTTAAACATCGAAATTACTCTGGCTTCCAATATTAAATTTAATTCTCAATTAAACACTCTACTGTTTGTGCTTCAGACAAAATTACCATCATAGTCTTAAAAAAGTGTTCTTCAGAACTCTCAACTATTTTTGCTAAACTTTAAAAAAATTCTAAATACATGGTTCCAATTTTTCAAAACTCTAAAAAACACCTTGACCTCTCTAAGTATCCTACAATGACTCTTCACTCTGTTATCAGTTTCTTATAATTTTCTATGTAAAGGTTTTGAGGTTATTAAATTATGTATGTGGGTGTGTGTATATATATACATATATAATATATATATATATATATATATATATATATATATATATATATATATATATATATATATATATATATATATATATATATATATATATATATATATATATATATATATATATATATATACATATATATAAATATATATATACATATATATAATATGCATATATAATATATACATACACTATATATGTATATATATATATATATATATATATGTATATATATATATATATATATTTATATATATATATATATAAATATATATATATATATATATGTATATATATATATGTATACATATGTATATGTCTATATATATATATATATATATATATATATATATATATATATATATATATATATATATATATATATATATATATATATATATATATGTATATATATATATATATATATATATATATATATATATATATATATATATATATATATGTATATATATGTATACATGTATATATATATATATATATATATATATATATATATATATATATATTATATATATATATATATATATATATATATATATATATATATATATATATATATATACATGTATACATATATATATATATATATATATATATATATATATATATATATATATATATATATATATATATATATTATATATATATATATATATATATATATATATATATATATATATATACATGTATGCATATATATATATATATATATATATATATATATATATATATATATATATTATATATATATATATATATATATGTATATATATATATATATATATATACCGTAGATGGGGGTAACTAAAGCCTACGGGGAAACTAAAGCCATTATAGCAGATAATTTTTGGATGGTGATAGTGGCAGCACTGTTTGGATTCAACAGCTGATGTTGTGTTCTTCTAATAGGAACTTGGACTGCTTTCCAAGTACTTGTCTGGATTATTAAAACAATATCACGGTAAGTGAACAGTACAACTATATATTTAACCTAAAAAATCGATAAAAAGTTACCTTGCATATTTATTTTTTTCAGTGATACACAACATGGGGTAACTAAAGCCACATCATAAAGGTGGCTTTTGTTACCCCATACTTTATAATAAGTCAAAATTCCTTAAGTAATAAATTTTTTCTCTTTTTTAGGACTAAAAATGCCTCGAAACCCAAAGAAGAAGCTTGGTAGCCGGAAGTATAAGGATTACACAGATGAAACGCTGAAAATAGCTGTAGAAGAAGTGAAGAAAGGGTCATCTTTAAGAAAGATTGATGAGAAATTTGCTATATCAAGGTTTGCTCTCACTGCTGCCCTGAAAGGTAAGGTTAACAAATGTGGTAGGCCTCCAGTTCTTAATTCTGAAGAAGAAAGAAAATTAGTTGAATCTATAAGCATGGCCGGAGAGTGGGGATTCCCTCTTACAGCACTAGAGAAAAGACTAATAGTGAAAGGTTACCTGGATCGGTGTGGCCGAAATGAAGTTAGGTTCAAAAACAATATGCCTGGAGTTGATTTTATTGACAGTTTTCTCAAAAGAAACAGTAAAGATATTTCCAAACGGTTGGGTCAAAACATTAAAAGAAGTCGAGCGGCTATCAGTAGGGACATTGTGAATAACTACTTTAATGAACTAGAAAAGACATTAAAGGATGTTGATCCATCAATGATAGTAAACTACGATGAAACCAACATGACTGACGACCCAGGGAGAAAACAAGTGATCGTGAGAAGGGGATCAAGGCATCCAGAGCGTATAGTAGATTCTTCTAAGTCTAGCACATCAGTAATGTTTTCTGGAAGAGCAAGTGGAATGCTACTGCCTCTTTATATAACTTATAAGGCAGCCCATCTGTATGACTCTTGGACAGAGAATGGTCCAGCAGGCACTGTGTATAATAGATCGAAGAGCGGGTGGTTCACTCTGGAAATTTTGAAAACTGGTTTCAGAGATTAGCTTTGTCCTACTTTAAAAATTTGACAGTGATGCCAAGAAGGTTTTGATAGGAGACAATTTGTCAAGTCACATCTCTGTCCATATTATTGAAGAATGCAACAAAAATAACATCAAGTTTGTACTGCTACCTCCTAACAGTACATACTTCACGCAGCCTTTAGATGTGGCATTCTTTAGGCCATTAAAAATAAAATGGCGCCAGACTTTGACAGAGTGGAAAGAGGCTAATCGTGGCTCTATTCCAAAAGACAGGTTTCCAAGACTTCTGAAAAAGTGCCTTAATGCTTAGGGAGAGGAAAACATAAGCAAAAACTTAAAAAGTGGTATTAAGGCAGCTGGTATTGTACCTTTAGACCAAAATGAAATTCTGAAAAGGCTTCCTGATGGTGATGCCACTGCAGTATCTGAAGAGCTTAATTCAAGCAACAACTGGACTGATTCTATCAAAACCTTTTTTGGAAAAAGTAGGAAGAGAGAGACCGAACCTCTTAAACAGCGGAAGAAAAGGAAAGTTAATGACCCAGCAGGAAAGAGGATTAAAGGGATTGAAGACACAATTCTGATCAATGATGATGATCCTCAACCAAATAGGTCCAATACACCCAATACCAAAACAAAGGAAAACCACAGCAAACTAAAGACTTTGAAACATAATAAGAAACTTGCGAATTCCGACTCATTTGATGATAGTGATGACCAGTATTCTTTGATAGACTCTAATTCAGATATGGATCCAGAAACATTTAGTGACCTGGAATCGGAGATACCAGTAGATCTACAACTATAAAAAACAACTAATGACGAACCCCCCAAAATAGGAGTCTCTAAATGAGAACTTAAACCTGATATTTACATCATTATTGAGCTCATCTTTGATAAGAACACAAAAAAAACAACCACCAAACAGTTCAATTCAGTTCTTTTCAACATTAAAGAATTGCGTCGTATCAAAAGACAAATAAATTATAAACTGATATTTCACGAACTATACTTTCTTTATATGTAATAATTTTTCAGGCTGCCATGATGAATTGAAACAGCAAGTATTAGTATTATAATTTTTTAATTTTTTTTTTAAATTATAGTTCCTGGAAATAAAACATAGCATTGCGTAACCAGAGTTTTTTTATTTTATTTTTTTACGTTTTGCAATTCAATTGTCTTGTTGTAGTATAAATTGTTGTAGCCTAATTTTACTTTTATTAAAACAATTAGTTAAAAAGTCGAATATCATGGTGCAATTGTCAATAATTATTTCAAATAATATTTTAATGAAAAGGGTTTTTCTGAACATATTTGTAAAATTTTTCTTTTATTAAAGTAAAGTAATATTTGTTTGCATCAGTACATTTTGTTTATTTGAATGAGTTTTCATGCACATCTTTAATAAAATTATTGCAAAGAAAGCATTTTTTTTAGAAATATCTAATGTTTTTTTTTTTTGCGCATAATTTGAGTTTGTTTTCTTATATTGTTTTAATGAATTTAATTTTTTATTTTTTTTAATTGTAAGAAGCTTGTATTTGTTTCCTCAAGAACGTATTCTTTATTTAAGCAATGCTTAATTTGAGAATTGTATAGTGTTTTATTGTTTATAATAGTAATTTGAAACATTAATAATATTCTCTAACCTTTGTTCTTTCTATAAATGTTTTAGACGCATGTAAGCAACTGGATGCATGTCCTCAAGATAGTAAATGTATGATAAGTCCAACAAATACAAAAATATGCATATGTCCAAATAAATTTATTTATGATGGCAAATCATGCAGTAAGTTAAAAAAATGAATACAATTAGTTTTCTCATAATGTGTGTTTAACGCAGCATTTGTGTTTTTATGAGAGCTGTTTTAAGCATTTCTTAGCAGTTGAAAAATTGTTTTGTAGTTGTTTTTTTTTTCTAGATATCTTTACATAATAACTCTGATAATAATTTCAAACTTTTTTTTTAAAATAAATAAAGTTTTATTTTTAAATTATCTTAACATATATGTTAGTTAGTTATTAGTTTTCATTTTTGAATGGCATTGTTTTTTCCATAAATTTTTTTTTTTTTTTTTTTTTTTTTTTTTTATCAAAAGATAATTTTATGAAAATGTTAGCTTTGTATAATCTATCCCCTTAAAAAACAGACTGTGATTGGCTTATCTCTAGCATGATGGTTAAATGTGTCACCTAAATTATATTATAAATATCTGTTTGCAATAGAATTTATTGACAATGATATGTAGGTTATGAGCACATTTCCTTTTAATTAATGTATATAAATTATTTTCTTTAAGGAAATGTAAAGTATTTTGTAACATACTTTTTGTTTTTTATTTTTATTTGTGTTTATATATTCTTTCGTTAAATATTTCTTTCATTGATGAAAGCTAATATTTGTTTGTACATTTTTTTAATTTATTCATAGTTGAATAATATAGTTGTAATGTGTTTTATTGTGTATTATAGTATTATAAACGTTCATAAGTTATTCCTTTATTTTTTTTATATTAGTTGAAGACCCTTGTGCGAAACCAGGTGTATGTCCAGCTGAAAGCAAATGTCTGATTAGTCTACACAAGACTGCAGCATGCATATGTCAAAAGGGTTATGTTTATAATGGCGAATCATGCAGTAAGTTATAAAAAATGACTACGATTGCTTATCTAATAAAAAATGTTTGACATAGCTATATACACATGTATTTTTCATGAGAGTTGCTTTAATCTTTTTCAGCAGATAAAGAATTGTTTTGTAGTAATGTTTTTTTACTGAAATCTCTACCTAATAACTTTATTTTCTGACTTTTTTTTTATTTAAAAAAAGTTTTTTTATTTCATTGTTTTAGCAATTATATTAGTTAAATATTAGTTTACATACATGAATTGCTTTTTCCAAAATAAGTCTGTTTTTTATTATTTTTTCCATCAAAAATTAAAACTCTTAAATTTGTATAATGTATACCCTAAAAAAAACAAGGTTATTTTAAAAAAGAAGTTTCATAAAGGACATAGTCAATGTTGATAAAACCTCATATCAGTGTTATAATTATTTTTATAAATGTTAAATTAGTTATCATTGTTTATGTTCAGTTTTTGTTTTTTTTTTTTACATGAAAAATAAAGGAACTTATTTAATAATGTTTGTTTACAGTTTTTTTTTTTTTTTAAATTTTACTATTTTAATGTTATACAGGTTAAAATTAGTATTTTTTTACTATAGTATTAGCGAATCCAAATCCTCCAGCTACTACTGGTAAGCTTAACAGTTTTTAAGATGACTTGTTTTTTATTTAATATATTAAATCCAATCAGGTCTTTTATATACTTTTTTTTTAATAAACTTAAGGTTTTTTAAATTTTATTAATTTAACCTAAATTTGTATTATTTCCGTTGGATTTTATAAATAAAATAAAAAATATTTTATAAATATCTTTTTGCAACACATTTTCAGACAATGAAAAATTGATTAAGAGCACATTTTTTTGTTATTGTTGTTATTGTTGCATAGAAAACAATTTTTTTTTTGTATTATTTGAGTTTAAAGTTTGTTTAATTCATTTTTATTAAAGGAACCTAGTATTTGTTTTCTTCGGTGCATTTTTTATTATATTTTTTTACTTAATCAATGTTGAATAAGGTAGTTGTATAGTGTTTTGTTGTTTATTAGAGTAATTTAAAACATTGATAGCATCGTTTAACCTTTCATTTTTATAATAATTGTATTAGATGCATGTGCGCCACTGGATGCATGTCCTCAAGATGTCTCAGGTAACATAGAATGTAAAACAGGTCCAAGCAATACTGCAATATGCCTATGTGAAGATGGTCATTATTTCTATGGCGGATCATGCAGTGAGTTAAAAAATTGAATATAAACAATTATCTTTTAATATGTGTTTGTCGCAGCTATATGTATCTGTTTTTTTATGAGAGCTTTTACAACTATTTTTTAGCAATTAAAGAAATGTTTTAAATCTATTTTAGTGATCTTTTTATAGTAATCTTCTAAAAATATTTATCTAAAAACTCAAATAAAACTTACGAATTTTTTTTTAACTAAATAAACTTTTTTTTACTTAATTGTCTTATTATAACTATTATAATATTTTAATGAATCGTCTGCAATAAAATTTATTGTCTATAATAAACCGGTTACAAGCATATTACTTTTAAATTAATGTATATAAAACATTTTTAAATAAACATAAACATTTTTTATTCAAAAAAAGTAAAACTGTCTTTGCAATCTTTGACTTTTTGTTTCAATACATTTATTTGTTAAATTTTACTTTTATTAAACGAAACTAATATTTGTTTGTTAATTTTTTTTTTTTATTTAATCATGGTTAAATGACTTTGTTTTAAAGTAGTTTTATGTGTTTTATGGTATTATAAACATTGGTTACATTGTTAATCCTTCTTTTTTTTTTTTTTTTTGTTAGTTGAAGACCCGTGTGTGACGCCGGGTGTATGTCCAGCTGAAAGTATATGTCAGATTAGTCAAGAACAGACTGCAACATGCATATGTCAAAGTGGTTATGTTTATAAAGACAAATCATGCAGTAAGTTAAAAAAAAAGAATATTAATGGTTATCTTATAATGTGTGTTTAAGGCAGCTATGTGTATCTGTTTCTTTATGAAAGCTGTTTTAATTATTTTCATGCAGTTGAAGAATTGATTTATAGTCAATTTTTTTACAGTAGAAATCTTTACAAAACAACTATAATATTAATTACAAGTTCTTTTTTTTAACTAATCAAAGTTTTTAATTTTAATTGTCTTAACAATTATATTAGTTAATTGTTTGTTTACATCTTTGAATGGCTTGATTTTTTCCATGGTAAGTTTTTTTGCCATTATTTTTTATCAAAAGATAAAATTTTGAAAATCTTAGTTTTGTATAATCTGCCCCTTTTAAAAAAACATAATGTGGTTGGCCTGTAAAAATGTTGTAAGATTAAATTTATAAAATTTGTCACCTAACGTGTATTATAAATATCTGTTAGCAATACAATTTATTGACAATGACATATAGGTTATGAGCACATTTCCTTTTTGTTAATGTATATAATGCAATTTTGCATATTTTAAGTTTTAATTTTTATTTGCATCCTTGTTTTCATATTGCTTTTTTTAATTTTTTAAAGATATACTAGCTTTTTATTTTTTTTTATTTTTTATTTTTTTTTTATTGTAAAAACTTTTCCAAAAAAGAAAAATATCTTGCTGTGATTGGCTTATCCACTATTTCATGATGATTGACTGTGTCACCCAGATAATGCTTAAGTTTTAAAAGTCAATGATTATTTCAAATAAACGTTCAAATTTTTTTTCATTTGATTCAAATAACCTTTTTATGTGAAAAGGTTTATGAAGTTTTATGAAGGCCAGTTTAAAAAGATAAAAAAAGTTAAAAAAAAAAAAGAAGTTTTACAAAGGACAATGTCAATGTTGATAAAATCTAATATCAGTGTTAAAAATATTTTAATAAATGTTAAATTAGTTATCATGGTTTATGTTCAGTTTTTTTTCTGTTTTTTTTTTTTCAACATTCACTTTTTTAATGCTATGCAAAATAAAAAGTCATTTTTTTTTTTACTATAGTATCAGTGAATCCTAATCCTCCAGCTACTACTGGTAAGCTTAACAGTTTTTAATTGATTTGCATTTTTCATTTAATAACTTAGTTCTTATCAGGCATTTTAGATCCTTTTTTTTTTGTTGAAGAGAAATTCAAACTCCATACTTTGATTTTTGTTTTTATTTAACTTGAAAATGGTTTACGTTCTGTTATTTTCTATGTTATATACAGATTAAAAAACATTTCTTATAATTTTTTGTATAATTATCTGTTTGCAATGCATTTTATAGGAAATGGTGTCTTGGTTACATTCTATTTTTTTGCGATCATATTACAAAATACATTTGTGATACTTGTATTTACAAAAGCTTTTCTTTACATTTTGAGTTTAACTTATTTTTAGTTAATTTTTTTTATTTTATAGAAGGCAACCACTATTTATTTGCAGCAGTGCATTTTGTTTATGTAATGATTGTTGATTAAAAAAGTTGTATAGTTTGTTATTTTAGCATTTGTGTGTAGTAAATGACCAGGGTAGATATTTGACCAGGGCCGGGGCCGGATTTGAAAAAAATATAGCCGGAGCTAAATGTTGTATCTTATCTCAGATGTTAGGTTCTAGAGACTTTTGGTTAGTTTTCAACAGTGTCATTAACTAAAGTAAGTCTAACATTTAATCTCTCATTCATAGGTCTTTCATATCTTTTGACATTTCCCTTGAATAAAGCAGAGTTTTTTGCAAAGAAATTTTACTCTAATTAGACTCTTGAATATAATGGCCATTCTCTTCCTGAGAGTTTAACAGATTAACCCATAGTTAAACATGGAAATTTCTCTGGCTTCTAATGCTAAAGTTAATTTCCAATTAAACACAGTTTGTGCACCAGATTTTGATCATAGTCTTAAAAAAGTGATTTAAAAGTTTTTTCTAAGTTTTTTAACCTTAAGTTTCATACATGCAAATGTTCATTTGTTTGAATTCCCCAGGATTTAAACCCCAACTTTAAAATAATTTTTTAGTTAGGCATATTATGACTTAGCAAAAAAAATTTCTGTGTAATACAATAAAGCTTTTTTAGTTGGTTATTTATAATTTTTAAACTTTGTTTTTTTTAATTTTTATTTTAATTTTTAGAAAAAATTTTATTATGTTTTAAGTTCCAAAAAGTTCCTAATTTTTTTAACTTATTTTTGAATTTTGTTTAGTGTTTTAAATAAAAGTTGTATTAATACTAAACTTTAAAATAGCTTTAAACATATAAACAAACCTAATAAACTAAATTACTGTAAGATTTTAAAGCTTTTCAACATTAAAGAATTGCCTCATATCAAAAGACAAATAAATTATAAACTGATATTTCACGAACTATACTTTCTTTATATGTAATAATTTTTCAGGCTGCCATGATGAATTGAAACAGCAAGTATTAGTATTATAATTTTTTAATTTTTTTTTTAAATTATAGTTCCTGGAAATAAAACATAGCATTGCGTAACCAGAGTTTTTTTATTTTATTTTTTTACGTTTTGCAATTCAATTGTCTTGTTGTAGTATAAATTGTTGTAGCCTAATTTTACTTTTATTAAAACAATTAGTTAAAAAGTCGAATATCATGGTGCAATTGTCAATAATTATTTCAAATAATATTTTAATGAAAAGGGTTTTTCTGAACATATTTGTAAAATTTTTCTTTTATTAAAGTAAAGTAATATTTGTTTGCATCAGTACATTTTGTTTATTTGAATGAGTTTTCATGCACATCTTTAATAAAATTATTGCAAAGAAAGCATTTTTTTTAGAAATATCTAATGTTTTTTTTTTTTGCGCATAATTTGAGTTTGTTTTCTTATATTGTTTTAATGAATTTAATTTTTTATTTTTTTTAATTGTAAGAAGCTTGTATTTGTTTCCTCAAGAACGTATTCTTTATTTAAGCAATGCTTAATTTGAGAATTGTATAGTGTTTTATTGTTTATAATAGTAATTTGAAACATTAATAACATTCTCTAACCTTTGTTCTTTCTATAAATGTTTTAGACGCATGTAAGCAACTGGATGCATGTCCTCAAGATAGTAAATGTATGATAAGTCCAACAAATACAAAAATATGCATATGTCCAAATAAATTTATTTATGATGGCAAATCATGCAGTAAGTTAAAAAAATGAATACAATTAGTTTTCTCATAATGTGTGTTTAACGCAGCATTTGTGTTTTTATGAGAGCTGTTTTAAGCATTTCTTAGCAGTTGAAAAATTGTTTTGTAGTTGTTTTTCTTTTCTAGATATCTTTACATAATAACTCTGATAATAATTTCAAACTTTTTTTTTAAAATAAATAAAGTTTTATTTTTAAATTATCTTAACATATATGTTAGTTAGTTATTAGTTTTCATTTTTGAATGGCATTGTTTTTTCCATAAATTTTTTTTTTTTTTTTTTTTTTTTTTTTTTTTTTTTTTTATCAAAAGATAATTTTATGAAAATGTTAGCTTTGTATAATCTATCCCCTTAAAAAACAGACTGTGATTGGCTTATCAACTCTAGCATGATGGTTAAATGTGTCACCTAAATTATATTATAAATATCTGTTTGCAATAGAATTTATTGACAATGATATGTAGGTTATGAGCACATTTCCTTTTAATTAATGTATATAAAATATTTTCTTTAAGGAAATGTAAAGTATTTTGTAGCATACTTTTTGTTTTTTATTTTTATTTGTGTTTATATATTCTTTCGTTAAATATTTCTTTCATTGATGAAAGCTAATATTTGTTTGTACATTTTTTTAATTTATTCATAGTTGAATATTATAGTTGTAATGTGTTTTATTGTGTATTATAGTATTATAAAAGTTCATAAGTTATTCCTTTATTTTTTTCATATTAGTTGAAGACCCTTGTGCGAAACCAGGTGTATGTCCAGCTGAAAGCAAATGTCTGATTAGTCTACACAAGACTGCAGCATGCATATGTCAAAAGGGTTATGTTTATAATGGCGAATCATGCAGTAAGTTATAAAAAATGACTACGATTGCTTATCTAATAAAAAATGTTTGACATAGCTATATACACATGTATTTTTCATGAGAGTTGCTTTAATCTTTTTCAGCAGATAAAGAATTGTTTTGTAGTAATGTTTTTTTACTGAAATCTCTACCTAATAACTTTATTTTCTGACTTTTTTTTTATTTAAAAAAAGTTTTTTTATTTCATTGTTTTAGCAATTATATTAGTTAAATATTAGTTTACATACATGAATTGCTTTTTCCAAAATAAGTCTGTTTTTTATTATTTTTTCCATCAAAAATTAAAACTCTTAAATTTGTATAATGTATACCCTAAAAAAAACAAGGTTATTTTTAAAAGAAGTTTCATAAAGGACATAGTCAATGTTGATAAAACCTCATATCAGTGTTATAATTATTTTTATAAATGTTAAATTAGTTATCAATGTTTATGTTCAGTTTTTGTTTTTTTTTTTACATGAAAAATAAAGGAACTTATTTAATAATGTTTGTTTACAGTTTTTTTTTTTTTTTTAAATTTTACTATTTTAATGTTATACAGGTTAAAATTAGTATTTTTTTACTATAGTATTAGCGAATCCAAATCCTCCAGCTACTACTGGTAAGCTTAACAGTTTTTAAGATGATTTGTTTTTTATTTAATATATTAAATCCAATCAGGTCTTTTATATACTTTTTTTTTAATAAACTTAAGGTTTTTTGAATTTTATTAATTTAACCTAAATTTGTATTATTTCCGTTGGATTTTATAAATAAAATAAAAAATATTTTATAAATATCTTTTTGCAACACATTTTCAGACAATGAAAAATTGATTAAGAGCACATTTTTTTGTTATTGTTGTTATTGTTGCATAGAAAACAATTTTTTTTTTGTATTATTTGAGTTTAAAGTTTGTTTAATTCATTTTTATTAAAGGAACCTAGTATTTGTTTTCTTCGGTGCATTTTATATTATATTTTTTTACTTAATCAATGTTGAATAAGGTAGTTGTATAGTGTTTTGTTGTTTATTAGAGTAATTTAAAACATTGATAGCATCGTTTAACCTTTCATTTTTATAATAATTGTATTAGATGCATGTGCGCCACTGGATGCATGTCCTCAAGATGTTTCAGGTAACATAGAATGTAAAACAGGTCCAAGCAATACTGCAATATGCCTATGTGAAGATGGTCATTATTTCTATGGCGGATCATGCAGTGAGTTAAAAAATTGAATATAAACAATTATCTTTTAATATGTGTTTGTCGCAGCTATATGTATCTGTTTTTTTATGAGAGCTTTTACAACTATTTTTTAGCAATTAAAGAAATGTTTTAAATCTATTTTAGTGATCTTTTTATAGTAATCTTCTAAAAATATTTATCTAAAAACTCAAATAAAACTTACGAATTTTTTTTTAACTAAATGAACTTTTTTTTACTTAATTGTCTTATTATAACTATTATAATATTTTAATGAATCGTCTGCAATAAAATTTATTGTCTATAATAAACCGGTTACAAGCATATTACTTTTAAATTAATGTATATAAAACATTTTTAAATAAACATAAACATTTTTTATTCAAAAAAAGTAAAACTGTCTTTGCAATCTTTGACTTTTTGTTTCAATACATTTATTTGTTAAATTTTACTTTTATTAAACGAAACAAATATTTGTTTGTTAATTTTTTTTTTTTTTATTTAATCATGGTTAAATGACTTTGTTTTAAAGTAGTTTTATGTGTTTTATGGTATTATAAACATTGGTTACATTGTTAATCCTTCTTTTTTTTTTTTTTTGTTAGTTGAAGACCCGTGTGTGACGCCGGGTGTATGTCCAGCTGAAAGTATATGTCAGATTAGTCAAGAACAGACTGCAACATGCATATGTCAAAGTGGTTATGTTTATAAAGACAAATCATGCAGTAAGTTAAAAAAAAAAGAATATTAATGGTTATCTTATAATGTGTGTTTAAGGCAGCTATGTGTATCTGTTTCTTTATGAAAGCTGTTTTAATTATTTTCATGCAGTTGAAGAATTGATTTATAGTCAATTTTTTTACAGTAGAAATCTTTACAAAACAACTATAATATTAATTACAAGTTCTTTTTTTTAACTAATCAAAGTTTTTAATTTTAATTGTCTTAACAATTATATTAGTTAATTGTTAGTTTACATCTTTGAATGGCTTGATTTTTTCCATGGTAAGTTTTTTTGCCATTATTTTTTATCAAAAGATAAAATTTTGAAAATCTTAGTTTTGTATAATCTGCCCCTTTTAAAAAAACATAATGTGGTTGGCCTGTAAAAATGTTGTAAGATTAAATTTATAAAATTTGTCACCTAACATGTATTATAAATATCTGTTAGCAATACAATTTATTGACAATGACATATAGGTTATGAGCACATTTCCTTTTTGTTAATGTATATAATGCAATTTTGCATATTTTAAGTTTTAATTTTTATTTGCATCCTTGTTTTCATATTGCTTTTTTTAATTTTTTAAAGATATACTAGCTTTTTATTTTTCTTTATTTTTTATTTTTTTTTTATTGTAAAAACTTTTCCAAAAAAGACAAATATCTTGCTGTGATTGGCTTATCCACTATTTCATGATGATTGAATGTGTCACCCAGATAATGCTTAAGTTTTAAAAGTCAATGATTATTTCAAATAAACGTTCAAATTTTTTTTCATTTGATTCAAATAACCTTTTTATGTGAAAAGGTTTATGAAGTTTTATGAAGGCCAGTTTAAAAAGATAAAAAAAGTTAAAAAAAAAAAAGAAGTTTTACAAAGGACAATGTCAATGTTGATAAAATCTAATATCAGTGTTAAAAATATTTTAATAAATGTTAAATTAGTTATCATGGTTTATGTTCAGTATTTTTTCTGTTTTTTTTTTTTTAACATTTACTTTTTTAATGCTATGCAGAATAAAAAGTCATTTTTTTTTTTACTATAGTATCAGTGAATCCTAATCCTCCAGCTACTACTGGTAAGCTTAACAGTTTTTAATTGATTTGCATTTTTCATTTAATAACTTAGTTCTTATCAGGCATTTTAGATCCTTTTTTTTTGTTGAAGAGAAATTCAAACTCCATACTTTGATTTTTGTTTTTATTTAACTTGAAAATGGTTTACGTTCTGTTATTTTCTATGTTATATACAGATTAAAAAACATTTCTTATAATTTTTTGTATAATTATCTGTTTGCAATGCATTTTATAGGAAATGGTGTCTTGGTTACATTCTATTTTTTTGCGATCATATTACAAAATACATTTGTGATACTTGTATTTACAAAAGCTTTTCTTTACATTTTGAGTTTAACTTATTTTTAGTTAATTTTTTTTATTTTATAGAAGGCAACCACTATTTATTTGCAGCAGTGCATTTTGTTTATGTAATGATTGTTGATTAAAAAAGTTGTATAGTTTGTTATTTTAGCATTTGTGTGTAGTAAATGACCAGGGTAGATATTTGACCAGGGCCGGGGCCGGATTTGAAAAAAATATAGCCGGAGCTAAATGTTGTATCTTATCTCAGATGTTAGGTTCTAGAGACTTTTGGTTAGTTTTCAACAGTGTCATTAACTAAAGTAAGTCTAACATTTAATCTCTCATTCATAGGTCTTTCATATCTTTTGACATTTCCCTTGAATAAAGCAGAGTTTTTTGCAAAGAAATTTTACTCTAATTAGACTCTTGAATATAATGGTCATTCTCTTCCTGAGAGTTTAACAGATTAACCCATAGTTAAACATGGAAATTTCTCTGGCTTCTAATGCTAAAGTTAATTTCCAATTAAACACAGTTTGTGCACCAGATTTTGATCATAGTCTTAAAAAAGTGATTTAAAAGTTTTTTCTAAGTTTTTTAACCTTAAGTTTCATACATGCAAATGTTCATTTGTTTGAATTCCCCAGGATTTAAACCCCAACTTTAAAATAATTTTTTAGTTAGGCATATTATGACTTAGCAAAAAAAATTTCTGTGTAATACAATAAAGCTTTTTTAGTTGGTTATTTATAATTTTTAAACTTTGTTTTTTTTAATTTTTATTTTAATTTTTAGAAAAAATTTTATTATGTTTTAAGTTCCAAAAAGTTCCTAATTTTTTTAACTTATTTTTGAATTTTGTTTAGTGTTTTAAATAAAAGTTGTATTAATACTAAACTTTAAAATAGCTTTAAACATATAAACAAACCTAATAAACTAAATTACTGTAAGATTTTAAAG